GGAAGAACTTTCTTCGATTGGGTCTACTTCCATAGTGTTGGTCTGTTCTGGGAGGGCAGTAATAAGAGGTTCCTTTACATAAGTAAGAGAGAGATCACTGTCTGAAGTCTGCAGTGTATTCTGTTTCTTTTTTGGTACTTTGTCTGATATTGGTGACGCCAAGCGGCCGTGGTTGGTATTCTTTCTTTCTGTTTTTTTGGGCATTTTTGCAAAAAGGGAGAAAGAGTTTTTTTAAATAAAAAATTTATCTATATTTTAAAAAATAAAATAATAAATAAATGCTATTATTAATTTTATATGAGGCATGTTGCAACAAAACCAGACAAAGTGAACATTAGTATTGCCAAAAATTTCAGGGATCAAAATTTAGTAATGTGATTATTAAAATCTTTCATTTGTTATCCTCTTAATATTAGGTGATATATAGAATTATCTCTATATAAAATAGTTAATATGAAGCTAATTTATATCAGATCTCTACTATGGAACCCAATAATTACAGCACCTTTAGAAGTATTTTGAAAAAGGAACAAGGTGAAAAAATCGCTCCTTATATTTTCAAAATAAATGATACTCAGACACTGGAAGTTTATCTAAAAAAAGAAAGGATTACCTATGAAATTTACCATAAAGAAAGAAAAATAATAAGTGTTAGAAAGAGAAAACATCATGATGATGCATTATTACCTAATAAAAAGCAAAAATTTTTAAAAGGAAAATAAATACCATTTTCTTCGATAGTTTGAATAAATTTTAATGGTCATCAAAATGTGTGCAAAAAGTTTGACTTTAATAAGAAAAGAAATTTTAGATTGACATTTAATTTGACTAATAGGGCTTATTTGTGCAATATACACACGCGTGTAATAAAAAGTGTGTACGCGTACGCTGATCAAATAACAACTTTTTTTTCCACTACCTGCTACCTTAAAATTTGATAAATTTTCCACGTCAACATGTCAAAAATAAATAAATATTTCAATCGCAAATACAATAAATGGAATATAATCGGATTTTTAAATGAATGTGATTTAGAACCGTTTGATAAAAAAATAGATGAATACCTTAAAAGCCTCGAAAAGATTAATAACGAGAAAGGAATGAGACAAAAAAAAGCAAGCCAACTTCTTGATAGGTATCGAAAGGCATGTAATGACTTTTTTTTAAAAATAGTGGCGTGACGATCGTAGGCTTCTTTGGCCTTTCGTCATTCAAGGCTCTTTGCTAAGCTACAAACCAATGTTAGAGCACAAATAACCTTTTTTGTTATTTGATGTTCAAGGCTCTTTGCTGATCTAACACTGGACCCATTGGGATCAGGTGTCCTCTTTGGCTACCTGATACTCAAATGGGTTAGAAACTGAAATAAATATGAACAAGAATTTTACTAATTTTCAAATCTTCTATGCTAGAATCCTAGACCAGATTATAAAATCGCAAAGTCATAGGAAAATAAGCGTACACGTAAATAAGTTCACCTACACCAGCCAATAAACGGAACTGTAAATGGAACAATTAACACAGAATGGAACAATGAGTGGGGGGAAAGTTGGAATCATTAATGAACAAGAAAATCCACTTTTCAGAAGAATACAGAGAGAAATAAACAGAATAAATTATGCTGAAAATTCAAACAAAGTAAACAGAGTGAATAATATCAGCAAGTGGACTCATAAGGAAATATCAGATGAAGATTCTGAGATATGTAATATGCTGTTAGGCAATATTTCCTATTTCAACTATCTCTAATTTTTCAATATCTAGTTTTGCAATGAAGAAGAAGAGATCGATGAAGATGACGATGAAGATAACTACGAGGATGACGATGAATATGATAACAAAAATGGTGACGAGGATGAAAAGACCAGAAAGAGAAAGAAATTAGAGAAAAAATTGATTGAAGGTTTTAAGTTGAGGTTTGAAACGATAAGTATGGATGACAAATGGAGACTTCCTTCAGGCAGATTTGTAGAAGATGTCTTGTATAATTGGGCAGTGACTCAACGTTCCGAAACGTAAATATGCTATATTTATCAATTGATTATATTGTTACCAAACATACTTACAATAAACTAATACCCATTTTGTTTAAAGACTTGCGCATTCTTTTATACTTGATACAGACTGTCAAGAGGTTATAGATCTTTTTAGTTTAGAAGAAAAAGAAATAATTATGAATACCGATAAAAAATCTTTTTCAGATGTTAAAGATGGTGTTAAAAAATATATCATGAAATATCATAAGGTATTTGTTTAATTAAGATTGACTAAATTGTACATATTTACATACAAACTATATATTTTCACAGAAAAATGTTGGAGATCTTTGAAAAGTTCTCATGACACCATATTTGAAAGATGGGGAGACATATAATCTAGAGCTGCACTATGATATAGAATGGATTCGTTTAGTATTTAATAAATTGTAAGTTACTCTTCTATGTAATGTTATGATCCTTGACTAATATTTTTTCATCAATACATGGCTTGTGAGTCATGTTTGGACCTTTGTTATTGATATGGCATTAAAAGATATTAAAGAAACAAGAATTGGAAAGTATGTAATGCTCAAACACATTACCACATTCTTTGCAATATTAGTTATTAACTACGTGTTTCTATCTTATATGTCAGATGGTAGTTCGTCTGCATCAAAAATTCGAAAAAATAAGAAAAGAAAAATCGGAGAAACTGTTATTCGTGTAAACAGACTTTTAAATTTGTAACTTTATAATACAAATAGTTTAAATTAATTTTTTTTTTTAATATCAATAGGGTAGAAAAATCGATCTATTGCTAAAACTCTGTAATAGTTCAAAGGAAATATTAGCTGAAGAAGTAGCAAGAACAGGAGATATTCATGATACAAAGTACTTAGAGGACAGAATGAAGCTATTAAAACTTACAAAAGATATGCTCGATTTAATTATTGAGTCACTTCCACCAACAACAATTGAAAATTACAGGAGTCTGTGTATGTTCGGGATACAACTTTTCAGTAAGTGAACATTATTGATATTATATGCTATATTGAATAGCTTTGTCACTTATCTCTCTTATTACTTAGAAAATAAAGGTATTATTTATATGATGGATCACCTAGAGTAGTTGTCTCGCGATTGACTAAAAAAGCCAATTTAGAAGCACCAATATACATTGAAGGTCTCTGTGATTTAATTTTATCAATAATTACAGTTTTAGAATTAAAGGTAATATTTTAATATCGAACTGTATATTTTTGATGTGTATATTTATTCATCTGCTTTGACATTTCGCAGAACGCAATTCGAGAAATCCTCAAAATAATAGAAAAAATAGAAAGTGATGAATTAGAAACTCAAGTTTTTAGGAAAAACATTATAGGAGTTCGATTACCATTTGCAGAAACAACACCAACTCCTAGGCTTTCTCTTAAAACAAATAAGTAAAATAATAGTAATCATATTTGTTTAAATCACTTTGATTATTTTCAAAACCAACCAAATAAATTTATGCAAAGAATCAAAAGATAATAAAAAATCATCAAATAACCTATTCATTATAAAAAATGATCAGAAATGATCACAATATTGAGTTTTTTTTTCTTAGAAACAATCTTAATTATGTGCCATTTGTCAGAGATTTGTGACATTTTCCTTTTGTTTACTATAAAGTTAGTCAAATTATGTGAAAGTAAATTAGTATCTGAATGGAGAAAAATAGTAGAGAATGTTTTAAAAAAGGCAAAAATTAATGGAATTCTAGCCTCATATTATAACTATCATAAAGGTGAATGAGTATGTATGTAAGGATTATTATAATGAAATTGTAGTAAACCACTAGATATCTCAAAGAGATTAAAAAGAATATTGATGATAATAGGCTCTTTTGTATTTGAAAGTATTTCTTTATTAATTCGTATTATTTATTAATAAGATTTGAAGGAAATTCACCTATTACTAAATTTTCACAATTAAGGTCCATTATTATTAAGGTTCTAAACGAATCAGTGAAATTCAAATCAATTTGAATTGAATCGAATCACCTAATTTTAAATCGAATCAGGTTCGAATTGAGTCAAATTGAATTCAAATTGTACTTTGATTCAATTCGATTCCGCAGCAATAAATAATTTTGATTTTTTAAATCAATTTTTCCAATAAGGCCCAATCATTTAATATAAAAAAATCATTATAAATTTTATTTATGAAAAATTTTATTTTTATATTTCATTACATATATCTGACTGGGGTTTACCTAATAAGAATTAAAACAGAAGTTTGATCAATTAAATATTGATGATAGTAAATTTTTTTTGAAAAAAAAAAAAAATTGAGAATGTTCTTTAAAAAATTCTTTTTTTAATGTCATTTTTTACTGTGTCTGCTGAAGGAGTGACAATATCAACTTTTAAAATACCAAATAATTCTTTTAATTCTTTTTTTCCAATTTTGGAAAAGGGTTGATCACAACAAACTATCCATCTAATAAGATATTTATGAAAATTTTCATTTGAGAAACTTTACAATTTAAATCAACATAATCAAAATATTATATTAAAACATAATACTTACTGGTATACATGACATTAATTGCACAAAACTACCTGTACCTTTTCTTAACATAGTGCAATAGTTGCATCTAGCTTTTTCATCTAAGATTGTGAAATAATTTCACGCCCACTTTTTTTGAGTTGTACTTATTAAAGAAACTTTATTTTAACAACAAAGTCATTGCTATTATTGCTATCATTACTGTTATCATTCATTATTATTATTGTAATATATTGCTCTCTACAATATCGTTTTTCAATCTCAGAAGTTCCTTGTTTTCTTTAACTAATTGTAAGAGATAAGCTCTTCGGTTTCTTCTAATAGAAATGTTTGTTATAACATTTATTTCATTAAAAACTTTCTATACAAATAACTTTCTATCTTTTGATAATAATTTATCAAATAATATTTTAAATGTGTTGTGAAGAAATCCTTTGAATGGCATGTATATAATAAATAATGCATGTAATTCACAGATGTCTGTTACCATTCATTTGTTATTATTATATTTGCAACTTCAACTTTAAATTTACATCCATTCAGAAGCTATTTTTACTATTTGTCATATGGGGCATGCTGTAACAAAACCAGACAAAGTGAACATTAGTGTTGCCAAAATTTCAGGAATCAAAATTTAGTAATGTGATTATTAAAATCTTCTATTTGTTATCCTCTTAATATTAGGTGATATATAGAACTATCCCTATATAAAAATAGTTAATATGAAGTTAATTTACATTAGATCTACTATGGAACCCAAAAATTACAGCACTATTAGAAGTATTCTAAAAAAGGAATAAGGTGAAAAAATTGCTCCTTACATTTTCAAAATAAATGATATTCATACACTTGAATCTTATTTAAGAAAAGAAAGGATTACTTATGAAATTTACCAAGAAGAAAGAAAAATAATAAATGTTGGAAAAAAAAAGCATCATGATGATGCATTATTACCTAATAAAAAGCAAACATCTTTAAAAGGAAAATAACTACTATCTTCTTTGATAGTTGGAATGAATTTCAATTTATACAGAAGGTAATTTCTTCAATTACTTTTTTATTTTTAATTAAGACCATCTTTTAGTCTCTTTAACTTCAATTTGAGCAGTCAATTGACCATTCTGTTGATCTTTTAATTTCCTGTTTTCTTCTTTCAGATGATTAATTTTTTCTTCTAAACTTTTTATCTTATCTAATAACTCCTGTTTTTGCTTTTTACTTCACTCTTCAGATTTTTCCTGAAACTTGACTACTTCTTCTCTTTCTATTTTCAACCCCTCCTTGGCAGTTTTCAATTCCTTTTCAAGTTCCTTTATTTTCTTTGCTAAGCAAACTTCAATAGTTTGAGAAGAAGATGATTGAATTAATCTTTCTTTTTGAAGACTACCAAAGCAATATCCTCTGTTTCTTTTTAGTTTACCACATTTCTCACAATAAGGAAGTGTGCCATTTTCTAAATTTTTCTTACAATTATCACAGATAGAAGCAATATCAACACATTTATCTTTCTTATCATAAGCCACTATTTCATAATTAGCAGGAGTGAAAGTAAGTTCTTGTCCAAAGAGAACATCCAACAAACAATAATTACAACTCTGTATTTTATTTTCTACTTCTAAAATTCTGTATTCCAATTTCATAATTACCTGTTATTTTGTAAAATGTAAGTGTTGAATTTTTCTCTTGCTTGCTCTTTTACTCTATTTACTATTGTTGTAATTTAATCTTTTTCTCTTTTGCTAGCCTTGTTGTTTTAAACTGTAATTTTTTAAGTTTGCTTGGTTTACACTTTTTTCTTAATTCTTGGTTCTCTATCATCAAATCAAATATAACATTATCTTTATCCATGCCTAGATTGAAAAGATTTCTATCATGATATTCTTTGGATTTTTCTAGTGCTTTCAAGTTCATTTCAACTTCTATGTCTACTCTTTCTTCTAAATTTTCTATTATGTTATCTTTTTCTTTTACACTTGCTTCTAATTCCTTAATTTTTTCAAGCAATTCATTCCTCTCTTTCTCTTAACTAATTGTTAGTGATTGTAGTCTTTTAACTTCTTTGTTAGCTTTTACTCATCAATTCATTGCATTTTTATGCATGTAAATAAGACAAACAAAACTTTTTCTAAATTCTTTGTCTTCTAAGCGTTTTAAGGTGTAAGGGTGAAGTCAAAAGTAATCTATAACTGCTCTTATCTTTGTTTCATCTGGATTTTAGTTTAAACTACCAATTAGTTCTTTTATTTCCTCTTTAGTTAAAATATTGTTTTGGTTTGTCATGATTTTACCTCTTTTTTCTTTTTTTTTTATTCTTTTAATATCCTTATATCCTTTTTATGTATATTAAGTATATAAATTATTTTAATGCTTTTTTACTTTAAAACTAACAATATTTGTCAAAAGATTAAACTTATTAAACTTAATAACAGCAAACAAATTAATGGGTGGTAAAGTCATAGAAGTGATTTTATTCCAAATATTTTATTTGTTGCCAGCATAGGATGGTTTTGAATAAGTAATATCTTTATATTCATCTTTCACAAATGGGTGAATATTATTATAAAGGTATTCTTGTCTTTTGTAATCCAAAGAAGGAGGTGCTAATACTAAAATTGATAAAGCTCTAATTTCTTCAAAAATATCTGATTTCTTGGTTTTCAATAAATTGAATTCAGTAAAAGATCCATTAGCAATTTCCTGAGCTTTGACCATACCAAGATTAGATGCTTCAAAAAGAAAATATTGATATTTTTGGATGCTTGGTAATTTCTTAAAATAAATTCCTAAAATTGGTTTAATATCTAAATATTGAAAACCTTTTCTACCTTCATAACATTGAGCTTTATTCAATCCTGCTAGACTAGACTTTTTTACCACCTCAATCACATGATCCAGACAATCTACTCTGGTTCTTCTATAGAGTTTTTTAATCATTTCAAAATTACCATCACATTTGAATTTAGTATGTCCAGGAATCATGAAATTCAATTCAATACTTTCATAATAACCACAAATTACCAAATATAAATAAAATCAAATAGTAGTGTTATTTTTATTTTGCCTTTCAACATTATCACAAGTAATCTTTAAATGCTTTTCACCTTTGTTCAATTTTTTAATTCCATTAAAGATCAAACTAAATATGCCATTAGGTCTTTTTCCTATAATTTTATCTCATTAAGAACATAATTAATTTGTTCCCTTATTGCTTCATCTTGAATACCAAATAAATGAACTTTACAAAACTAAGATAATAGATTTTACTTACTTGTTGATCTAAATATAGTACATGAACATTTTGAGCTCAATCATAACTATAATGAGCAGTAGCATCAACACTGCAATATTGTGTTTTACCCTTTGAATAATTTTGATTAACTAATTTTCTTTGCTCTTTTGCTAATTTGGTGTTTTTATTATAATAATTTCTTTCTAATTTGGCTTTAAACAGATGTTTTTTAAATCTTTTAAGTAAATCTTTAGCTTCTTCTTCTTGGCAAGCATTATAATGTAAACTATCTCTAAAATATTACACAAATCAGTCCTTGGACTTATAATTTGAATTTCTGGTGTTAATTGATATCATAATTTTCTGAAAGTATTATATTTTAAGGATTTCAATTTGTTATCTTCTTCTAGACCAGCTAGAAAATCTCTGTGGACTGATTTATAACTCATTTCAGCTGGTAAAAATACAATTGATTGGATTATTCTATTGATGCTTCTCCCTGGACTTGGTAATCCATGAACTTCTGCATAATTTTTTAGAAAATTCCTTACTACTTCAGCAATATTTTTATCAATCACCATTTTAGTTTTCCATTGAAGCATTCTTTTAATATTACCATGAATTCTTGGTAAAAGACCATTGCTTATCAAATGATTTCTAATGTTTTCAAAATAAGTTCTGCCAATTCCTAGCATATTTAGATAGGTTTCTTGACAAAGAAGTGTATTGTGATCTCAATGATAGAAAGTTCTTTTATTAGATCTAGTTTTCTTTTTAAGGCGTCTATTAGCACTTGTTAATCCACCATCTATTGCTTTAAGTTAGGCTATTAAAAATATGTCTTATTCTGTTTTGAAAAGTGCTTGAAAGGATTCTCTTAATTCTGAAAATTGTTCTTTAGGAATTCTTGAAGAACAACCACAATCACAACCTTTTTTTAAAAAATCAATTGCTTTTTGATATTCATTAGAACCATTATATTTATTATCACTTTTCATATAAACACTTATCCCTATATATATAATTTTATAATTTTTTGTTCACTTTGTGGATTTTTTATGATTTATATTTACAAATTCTTAGCAAAATCAACAGAACACAAACAAAAGATGGCAAGTTTTATCCATAATCCATAATAATAAGTTTATTGATTGGTTATAATATTTACAAAAAACTAATATATGCATATTTAACTACAAAGTGAACTGTAAAATACATTTTCAATTGTAATATAATGGCATCATAGATAAAATCAATGTTGTCTCTTATTATCAAATGATTGTCTATCCCATAGCAATGGATTATCTCATGCTTATACAAGAGACTTCATTGTTTTTAACTCTTCACTATCATTAGTAGTGTGAAATAATTAAATTTGTACTACAAGAAAGTTACACAAATTTACAAATTTAATAAGTTTCACAAAATGTTCTACAAAACATTTAAAAGAAAGGATTGGTCAAATGTTATACAAACAATAAATTAGAAAAATTTTATACAAAACTAATTAAATCCTAATTTAGAAATTCATTAATAAATTAAAATTAATTAAAATTATCCCCTATCTTAGTTACACAAAATAAGAATAATATTAAATTTATTTTATTAATACAAATTCATATAAATAATCTTATCATAATTTTATTAAAATATTATTATCATTTCTTATCTTTTATTATATAATAATATATCAAATTATTATACATTTATTATTAATTATCATAATATTATATAATGTTTGTCACGAGATAATCAAACTCTGAAACAAACATTATAAAATTATAAAATTATTGTTTAGTAAGCATTAATAATTTTTAATTTGATTTTAAATTAGAAATATGAATAGTAGAATTAATAATTCTAAGAATTTTGGCAAAGTTCTAATTTTCTTCAGAATAGAAAGTAGAAATTAGTATTACATTTAATTAATAATTCTACAAGATGTAAAGTAAGCACTTTCAAAAAATGTATAAAAGGAGAGAGATTTGAGAGAAAAGAAAGCATCATCTTCCACACCTCAAAAATCTCCTCTAATAATTAAACATATAATAAATCTATTTTGAAAAAATTAAACCTTTAACACTGCTATACCAAAACCTTAATTAATTAATTATCATATTATTTAAGGAACGCCTTATACCAATTATTAAAATAAACCTTTATTCTTAACAAAGAAGAGACAATATTTTAGTACAAAGACTAAGAATTAATTTAAAGCTATATATCTAAGATATAGTCACAGAAGAGTACTGTGGGGTAAAACTCAGGATAACTATCAACTAAGTGAAGTTATCATCCTAGTAACTAAGTATTAGAGGAACTATTCAGCAAAGGAATAGGAATTTTTGGATTTCAGCAAAGGAAATTCTTTGGATTTTATTAAGAAAATCTGAACAACAGCTCATAAGCTATAAATATAAAAACACAGTTGATAAGGTTAACTACCTTATCTTCATAAACTTTAATTATTTCTTTTGAAACAAGTAAATTACCTTTTGGTAATAGAAAGCTCTGTTCGTTTATATCAAACCAGTCTGAGATTATTAAGTAAGGTGCCAAGGTTTAAGTGATATCAAAAGTAAGATAACGTTATAAGAAAGCACAATTTGAGCGATTAGATATTCACTTATCTGTTCTTTTTTAATAGCGAGGCTTGCTAAAATATATTACATAAATATTATTCCTTTAATACTTGTACTAATATCAATTTAGATACAAGTAGAATATAAACTCGAACACGTTACACCCTCTATTTTACAGTAGTATAAAAATTTGATAACCCTAGAACTACAATTCTATTAATAACTGTTTTATTTTCATCAGTTTTCTGGAGTTTCCATCTTTTGCCACTTTGACTATAATTATATGTTGTAAGACTTGAATCTTCTGTGTATGCTTCTCCTATTTTTTAAAAAATAAGCATATTTTATAAGATAGGAAGTAGAAAAAAGTTGACATTATATTACTTACTAAGGTGAATATAAATGCCTAAATAAAGCTCTTTATCAACATATTTTTCTAATTCTTCACTAAAAACATGAGTTACCTCCAGTTGTCTACCCACTTCATCATCAAAGTTTGTTTGTCTTCTTGCCCAATTTTTTATCTAGAATTATTATAACACATTTAATCATTTAAATTAATATCATTTAGATTTTACAAAATATTAAAGTCAACCTGAACAACAATACATCCAAAGTTCCCTGTTCTTTTATTTTGGATAACCAACATAAGATCTCCACCTTGTTAACAACGTTTTAGGATTATTACACTATATCTTTCCTAAGTTTTTTTAATAGTTTCCATATTTGGTTAGTATGTTATTGGAATAAAGTGTGTGGTGTCATTACTTTTTGATTTCTAAGATTTATGATGTTATTAAAGGTCATCATAATGACATATGTTCTTACAAATTATTACTAATATTATTAATTTTGACATCATTTGATAAATATGATATAATAATTATAATTAAATGCAAGAATATAATAATGATAATTATTAAGATTAATGATATAAAATATATGTTAATAATGTTAAATCGCATAATGTTTATAATTATCAAAATTATCAATAATTATTTCCTTATTTAAAAATTTGTAAAACTTACATTCGTTGTTAAAGTGAAAGAATTTTCTTGGTATGTAAAGCATAGTAAAAATTTGAAATATTACACTAATTTTTTATATTACGCAAAATGCATGACAAATATTCTGGCAATAAAAAGTAAGTGATAAACTGGATTTGAATTGGATCTGAATTTGATCTCTAACTTAGAGAGGTAACAACTATATACTGGTGAAGTTTCAGGAGCAACGGATTTTATATAACATTTTATGCAACAACAAACTTCCACTATGCTGGTATGTAAACAACTCTATTTTTAGTGATCAATAATTTTTTCATTTGATTCCTGAAATCTTTGGTGATACCAATGTTTCACTTTGTTGCAGTATGCTTTATATACTATTAATTTTGAATAAATTTAATTATAATTTAATAAAAAATACTATTTATTTAATAAATTTATTTATTAAATTTTATTATATTTTATTAATAAAAAAGTATTATTAAAAATAGTACAAAATAAAAATAATAACTTCATATTATATAAAATAATTTTATTAATTAAAATAGCATTTATTTTATCTTTTTTAATATAAAAAAATACAAATTATATAAGATTAAGACAATTTTAAACTTTTTTATAATTTATCTGAAATGAATTAAAGAATAATATATATTTATACGTTATGAAAATTTTTTTATTTATGTGATTTTTATGTTTCAAATCATCTATATAGTAAAAATAAAATTTTAACAAAATTTTATTAAAAATTTTATTAAAAAATCTACAAAATATTGAAAAAGGTAAAATTATATCAAAGTTATAAAAATGAGAAATTATATTAAAATCTTAATAAAAAATTAGTAAAACTAAAGTTTAGATATTTTGCTAAATCTAAAACGAGTTTAAATAAGTAATTTTAATTATACACTTTATCATTTATTTTTAAATCTTATTAAAATAAATAAAAAGAAATATTATTTATTAAAAAGATGATAAAAATAGAATAAAGATAAAAAAGTAGATTTAGAATATAAAAAAAAAAGAAGAATTTATTTTGATTTAATAATTTTTATACTGTATATTATTATTAAACATTTTGAATTTTAAATTTAATAAAACATAATAAATTTTCAGTAAATTAGTAATATTAATAAAATGTTTATTCAATAAAATAAATATTAGCAAAAAAGGTGTAATTATTAGTTAAAAGGTATTAGTTAATTAGCATTTAATAAAGTGACTATTAATCAAAATATATATATATATATTTATATATTATTTAATTATAAGATTTAAAATTATTCTTAGTATAATAATATTTATCTGATTTAAAATACTTAATTTTAAAATTTAAATATTTAATAATATATTTATTAATAAAAAAAATTATTTTAATGAATGTGTATAAATTAAACATAAATATAAAAATATTATTAGATATTATATAATATAATAATTTAATAAATATTATTAATTTATTAATATTGTCACTGAATTTATTTTTGTTTATCTTAACATCTAAGTTAAAAGACTATAATAGCTGATTCTACATATTAGAGTTTCTAACTTTAGGATTTTCTTTAAGTTCTACAGGTATCTATTATATTTAAATCAATTTGGCAATTTATCACATCTTAGAATTTAAGATATGTTAATCAAACTTATAATGATGAATTCAATAGCAAGTTAGTATAGTATATCATAACAATTCTAAGTGAAAAACAATGTTGAAGGAAAAAGTAAATTTATATGGATTTAAATTGATTCCTTTATTTATAACTTGAAATTTGCAAAAGAGTTAATAAACTTGCAGAAGAGTTAATTTACAACTTAAGCAAAAAGCTATTCTATTTATATAAATGAATTTGCTACAGTTAATTACATACTATGCTATAAATTAACTAAATATAGATATATATTCCAATAAAATATACTTAAACGTAATAAAATAATATAAACTGTAAAAATAATAAAAATAAATAAAATAAATTATAGACAATAAGAAAATTACAGATAAAATAGAATAAACAGAATAAACAGGCTGTATAGAAAATACAGAAAAAACAGGTGAATCAGATGAATTTTGTAAATCCTTCAAATTAAATAAATTAGCTTGATTTTCTAATGCAATAGATTGATCAAGATCTTTTTTAATATGATCTATATAAAATTAAATCTAATGATTTTATAAATCATTTTTCTAGGGTAAATTTTTAATAGTGGTAATACTTCTCCTACTTAATTTTGAATATTGTAGTGAGAAATAATTTTGTCTTCAAAATTAAATTTTTTTAAAAATTTTCAAAAAGAATTTTTGCAGAATGCATGCTGTATTTATACGCAACCTATCAGAGGAAGCATACCATATTCATGCTATCCATAATTGACCTTATAAATATAGGTTTTTCTAATATTATATAGGGTTAAAATTTGTTGATTTTTAGAATTATGGAATTTAAAATTCTATATAAATAGCTTGATTTTGAAGAATTTTCTAATTGAGATCATGTGATAAATTATTTCTTAAATATTAAAATTCTATGTGTGTTGATCTAATTATTCAAATTTAAAATTTCTCAATTAATCTTTTTTTTTGACAATTTTCAAATAAATGTTTCTAACAATCGCTCTCAAAATGATGCTTAAAGAAAGTCAAACATATGAAAACTTTCCGTTTGCAATAAAAAATAAAGTTCATAACCAGTTTGCGACCTTGCAAATTCAAGTACAAGAAGAGAAAAGAAAAAGGCTGCTTATGGTATATAGACTGGCATATCTTGTAGCTGATCAAAATGCTCGCAAAAAATTATTGAGGCAAAGAATAAATGAGCTAGAAGCTGAAAACTTTTGACAAAAGGAGATGTTTTTGAAGAAAATGAATGTTTTACAAAGATTTGTGAGAAGGTTGAGTGTTAACTTTAATTGGGTGGTCTAGATGTAGTTGGAATATCTATTTTTACTTAAGATTTTTCTTGGAACTTTTCTTTACTAGTAGTTTGTTGGGTTGGACTTGTAATTGTGGCTAGATTGTATATTTTATCAATTATTTTGTAAATAAAATCATATATTTAGTGACTTAATTATATTAATCTGATCTTTATCCATAATATACTCAATCTTTTTCTATATCAAAAAAATTCATTGAAATCTAATATTTAAGAAATCTACTATGAGAAAATTATTGAACACAAATCTAAAATTAACTATTGATCAACTGATTATATTGTTTAACTTTTTCAAATATATAAATTACGTAATTATTGCAAGTAATTTCTTTTCAGAAAAACTAATATTTTCATATTTCTTGATTCTCCTGCATATGTTTTGTTGAACTCTTAAAATTATGCAGCTTATAAAATTTTTCTGAATTTATACTAAATAAAGAAATATTGATCAAAAATGTATTATACAAATATTGTATGATAATCTAATTTTGGTAATATTAATCAATTACGCCAATTTTAAATAGATTTTTGTTCTATAGATTTCTATGTAATGATCATCATCCAATGTGATCCAATGGATTTTTGTTTATTTTTCTACAAGAAAATAATTCTCACAGTTTTGAAAATTTTTCATAACCACAATATTTTATTATAAATATTTATCCAAAAATTCCTTCAATTTTCTTTAAAATTTTTCATTTCTTTCAAAATTATTACAAAATTTTAAACCTTTAGAATATTTTCAACTTAATTATGGTTTGAGTAAATAAGAAAAAATCTGTTTTCACTTATTAAAGAGCTTTAGTTTGTCAAAATAATTATTATAATAAAAGAGTTTCCCATAATGAGATAGATATATTTAAAAATATGACCAGATATGATGATTGAGAATATATAAAATGCATCTCTTATGAGCTTGTTCTAATAGACTGATATATATAACCCATCTCTCGTTCAAGGAATATGATAGTGTGTTTAACCTCATTTAATATGATTGCAGCATATTAACACTTTTGTTTTCTTTCTTCTACTGTACTATAGGCTCTCAAAATAGGAGTTTTTTTTGCTTAGAACTAGTTATTACAACTTTTATTATCTTATATTGATATGTAGTTATTTAGAACATTATTGGGTTCATTAAGCTAACCTTTATGTATACTAGTACTCGCTAGTCAAAGATATCTAACTTTACATTTTTAATGTGTGCTCTTCCTTTATTCAGGCTATAGGTTCTCATCAAAAAATCTAAGAAACTCATCAAAAAAATTCCACATTAAGAGAATAATTATCAATTTCTTTAAATCAAAATGCTGAACTTTCTGCTGAATGTGAACGCTTAAAAAATGAACTAACTAATATTTTTCTTCTCTTTTAGTTCATCAAGAGAATAAGATTCATTCACTTAAAGAAGCGTATAGAAAAGTTACTCATTCTTCGAGTAATAGATCATTACGAAAGTTAAATTCAAGATATCAACATATTCCTGATCTTTTTGTGCTAGATTTTTCTTTCTTTCTTTTTCTGTTTTCTTCATTTCATGTATTTTAAAATTTGTATCTTCTGATTACTCAATAAAATTTTATACATTGTTGCATTTTGCTAAAAAAATTTGTTCAATCTTATTTTAAGAATTACCAATCACACTGTTGATACTTTCGCTTTCACTCTTGTAATCTTTTCTGATATCATGTGATCATTCAATAAAATTTTTCTTT